AAGCAGGACTCGAAACGTACGTGTGACCCCACCAATGGATTCCTCGTTCGGAGAGCAATCCATTGGCGGGGTCACACGTTCGGTTCGAGTCCCATTTAGCGACTATGGAGCTCGAAACCACGTCCGAGATTTTGACCGCCTCCACCCGCCTCCTGGCCCACTGTAAGCTATCGGTACCGCCAATGAGCGGTGACCTGCGCGAGGCCAGCCTGTCGGCCAGGCCACGTCCCGCCCGCGCACACATTTTTATACATTACGTATTCCCTCTAGGAAAATCGGGCTCTCCCACGGGGGGCAGTGCGGCGTGCTTCGTTTGCACGGACGTTTGGCAGTGTGTGTGTGTGCGTGTGTGTGTGGGGGGTGGGGTGGGGGGGGGGGGGGGGGGGGGGGTGGTGTGTGTGTGTTTTGGGGCGTGTGCGTGCGAGTGTGTGTGTGTAAGAGCGAGAGGGCGAATGAGGGACGGCGCGGCTCAATGCGTTACTACCCCGCCGCTTATTTCGAGTGGGGGGACCATAAATCGGCCGGAGGGCGCGCACGTTGATTTTATTCAGACTGCGATGCGGCTGCGCCGAGTCGCGCGCTTGTTCCCTATATTTTTGTTTCGCTCTTTTCTCCCCCGCTTTTCACGTTGATCCGGACCCGTCCTTGCTCCAGATCCAAGCCGTCCTTTTCGCTCTCTCTCTCTCTCTCTCTCTCTCTCTCTCTCTCTCTCATTCTCTTTGCCGGCAATCCCCCTCTCTTGTAATCCCTCGCCTTCCCGACCATGCCTTGCCGTCCCTGCTGCGGCGAATCAGTCGCTCGGAAAGGTAGGTCATGAATCACAAAACTCATGAAGCCCTAATGCTGCTGGTCACGATTCGCCGCGTGGTCGTCTGTGGTGGTAGTCTGGGATCGGGAAGGGCTCTTGGCTTCGGGTCCGGCCAGGAGCCCCCTCCATTTGCTTAAAGAACGCATACATGCCGAGCTGGGATCCCGTTTGTGGCAGCGCAACCTCTGAGTCCGGGCAACCGACCGCCAGTTCCTGGAGTGCTCTCTCGCAATTGGGCTTATATGCACATCTTCGCCAACGGCATTTTGCAAACCTTTTTTAACCTTAAATTTTTTGAATTTTTTTTTAAATTTTTGATTGTTTTAAACCGTTTTTGGAATCTTTAATTGATTTTACACAGTTTATTTTTCAGGATCTTGAATTATTTTTAAGCAGTTCTTTTTAGTAGTTTTTTTCCATCACGCAATTGTTGACCATTTTCAAAATTTTTTTCAGTGTCGTTTGAAAATGCACCGCCGGTGTCCTCCCTTTCCTCCGGCCTCGGCCGCCGTGGGCCCTTTGGGCGGCGCGGCCCAAACACGAGGCGGCAACACTCCGTTTTTGTGTGCGCACTGGGCGGTGCGTGGCTAGGGCCTTGCTAGGCCCCGCTAGGCCCCGCTAGGCCCCGCTGCGAGGCGGCGCGCCCTGTGAGAGGCTAGGCGGGGCCTAGGCGGGCCGGGCCTTGCGAGAGGCTAGTAATGACGCCATTAGGGCCGGCCATTGCACCTCGGACGGGCCTTCTTGCGCTACACTGTATTTCGGAGCGTTACTCAACCGACGCACACTGTGTGTGTGTGTGTTTCGGGAAATGGTCCATGGGGGGTGGGGGAGGTGCCACTCGTGTGACATGTGTTGCGTCCGTGCCCGACGTCGATGTGACCCCGCCCCGCCCCGTGTGTATATGCGGTACGTGCTGCTGCTCGCCCTTCGGCCCCTGGGCTTGGTTCGCTCGGCCCTTCTGGTAGGAAAGGCCGGATGTCGAGCGAGTGAACAGCAAAGGCTCGGTGGTTCCTTTAACTACTGCCACGGCAGAAAATAAAACGGATCCTGGTTTTCCCAGGAAGCCCAGAGAAAGGGCACATGCGATTTCCAAAGAAAGCTTCCGGGAGAAACCTGGAACCGCTTTTGCCGTGTGGGTGCCGAAAACGCGCCGTTCAAACATCCACACGCGCGGGGCAGCGACGATCTGCGATTGGCGGATTCGCCGGAAAGGGAATTGAAAACGGCACTGCATTACGTCCGGCCGTAGCCGTCGAGGTTCAAAGGCGGGTTTGCGTGGAAACGCGTATCGGCGGCTGCGGTCAGGGCACTCTCGCTGGCCTTGCATTAGCTTGCATTAGCGGACAGTCGCGAGCAAGCACGGCCTATCGGGGTGTGTGTGTGTGTGGGAAGGGGGCGGGGGAGTGTGTCGAAATCCATTTATTCCTACGGGCAGGGGCTGCTGGGATTTACGGACAGGGTTAAGTAAGACCCCCGAATCTTACCGAACCCCGATTTTCGACCCATGTTATTTTGGTTCACGCACTGTGCACTCGAAAACCGAACCTTACAACAATCCGGATTATTAGGGGACGTTTTTTCGTTGTTTTTTTTTTTTGTGCTGTCCGCTATCGCTGCCCGTTTGTGTGTCGCGGACGCAGAAAACTGTGTAACCAGAGGCAAGTAGGCCCCCTCTGAGCAAACACTCACACACACAGAGTCATACACTCACACTCACTCACTCACACACACACACACACACACACATACACACACAGAGTGGCGTGGGGTATTTACCCGAGGCGCAGGTGTGCACGCGCTTTGGGCGTTTGTTGACTCCTCCATAAGGAAGGCGGTGCCTTGATTTGGCGTAATGAGCTCGTTAGCTACACTTTTGTTGTTGTTGTTGGCTCATCCTTCATCCCCAGCCCAGGGCGGCCCAGGCCGGCCCTCCACGGTCCCAGAGTGATTCCATTCGCGTCCAGCTGTCACGGCACCCTTGTCCCTCTGCCCGCTTCACAGTGGGCCAGAAGAC